TACTTTTTTTAAAACATATCGAAAACACACAGTAGGGCTGTGGATGTGGTTCAGTGGTAGAGTGCTTTCTTAGCATACACAGGCCCTGGGTTCAATCTCCAGCCCTGCAAAAACCAAAGCAAACCAAACAAGTACAAATCAGTGTTAAAAAATTTTAAGATAGGTATCAATGACAGAAACTGTTTATTCAAAATTGATTAAATGAAGTATATATAACATTAAAAATGCTTTCTAAACGAGTCATGTAATGATTATAACGCTTTTTCTTCTATTTTCCCGAGGTTTAGGAACAACCTGCTTACTCACTTAGAAGCATCTCAATGTGGCTGGGGTGGTCATGAGCTAAGCTGACCCTGAGCTCTGCAAGTGCAGTAGCACATATCATCTCAACATTCCTCTGTATTTTTAAATATGTGCAGCAAAAATTCTGTACTTTTTTGTACTTTTGAGTCAAGTCCTCACCAGTCTGGGTACACCTACCAACTCTACCACTGTAAGGATTAAATAGTGTATATTGTTTCTTTAAAGTGATATCATTATATGTATCTTTGATGGCCTGGGAATTTTCACAGGTGTTGGCTTTTTTGGTGGTAGTGGTACCAGGGACTGAACCTAGGGCCTTCCACACTGAGCTACATACCCAGTCCTGTTTTTGTGGTTATTTTGAAACAGGGTCTCACTAAAATACACAGATTGGGCTCAAACTTGTGATCCTCTGGCCTCAGACTCCCAGGTTGCTGAATTGCAAGAATGCCCCACTATAGCTGGTTCATGTGAACAAGAAAATTTGACCCTCTTAATTTGCATAGTTTTGTGGGGTTTTCTGGACCAAGTGAATAGTTAATCATTTTCACAGATCACCTCAGGCTGTTTTTGAAGGAATAAATTCTCATATATGGCACCAAAACCACAAATAACAAAAGTTAAGGATAAATGAATCAAACTAAGCTAAAAGTAAAAATGTTTGTGTTTCTTAGGGTACTATGAAGAAAGTGAAAAGGCGAACTACATAACAAGAGAAAAATTTTCCACATTATATATGTGGCAAGAGGTCTGTATCTAAAACATAAAGAATTCTTTTTTTTTTTTTTTTTTTTTGGAGACGGTCTCACTATGCAGTTCAGGCTGGCCGTGAGCTCATTTTGTAGCCCTGGCTGGCCTCAAACTCACAATAATCCTCTTGCCTCAGCCTCCCGAGTGCCGAGATTACAGGCATGCACCACCACGCCCAGCCAAAGAACTCTTGTAACTCAACAAAAAGACAAATCAATCTAAAACAGGCAAAATATCTAAACAGATATTTTGCCAAAAAATGCACAAATGACCAATGACTATATGAAAATATGTACGATGTCACCGGTCATCAGGAAGTGGGAATTAAAATCACATCACTTCACACACTAGGATAGTTAGAATCACAAACAGGTAACAAGTGTTCGTGAGGAGGTAGACAAAGTAGAATGCTTGTACACTGCTAGTGGGAATGGAAAGGGGTCTAGCAGCTTTCATAAACAGTCTGGCCATTCCTAAAAGCTGAAACAGAGCACACTGATATGGAAATTCTGCTTCTAGACATCTACATAAGAGAAATGACAACACATATCCAAACTTGTACACACAGGTTCACAGTAGCATTATTCCTAACATCTGAAAGGTGACAACAACCCAAATGTCCATCAATTAACAAACGAGTAAACAAAATTTGGTGTATCCATATAGTGTAATACTATTTGGCAATGAAAAAGTAATAAAATACTGGTAAGTTTGCAACATGTTTGGACTTGAAAACCTTATGCCAAGGGAAAGAACATTATACATACTGGGATGGAGCTGAGATTATGTTAAGCAAAATAAGCCTGACTTAGGCAAGTATTGCATGTTCTACCTAATATATAGAATCTAAAAAAAGGTGACATGAAAATAAAAGGGGCTATTATACAAGAGGAAGAGAGTAAGGTGGAGGGGGATGTAAGGGAGGGTAATGGGGGATGGACATGACCGAACTATATTTATATACATTGAAACCCAATATTTTGTAAAATTAATAGGCACTAACAAAAATATATTTTAAACAGTACAGGCAAACTGGGCAGGGTGGCATATACCTGTAATCCCAATACTGAGGGACACTAAGGCAGAAAGATCAAAGTTTAAGTCCTACCAGACAATTTAGCAAGACCTTGTCTCAAAAAAGGCGGGGGGATTTGGGGGGTGGTGTAGCTCAGTAGGAGAGAGCCCCTGGATTCAATCCCTAGTACCACCCAAAAAACGTACAGGCAGAACCTTCCAAAACAGGCAGAATCATTATATACAAGATTATCCTATCTTGTATACATACAGGATAGCTGAGATAATTGTAGTACTAATTTCTATTGGTTTATTGAAAGGAACTGTTTATACTTAATTGTTTGATCAATCTTGCCTGCCTATATCGGGTAATCTGAGCAACCACTTTGAAGATAATAGTAATACAACAACTGTTGTTGCCTTCCTATCACCTTGTTTTTGAAATTTTATATTGTTTTTACTGTTTTTTGTTTTCGCTTGTCTGTTTTTTCTCTTTAAAATAAAAAAAAAACTTAACAAATTAAAAGGAAAAAGCAAAACAAAACAAAAACAAAAACAAAACTTACACCCACTTCATTGAAATCAATTTTTAAAAGCAACAGCAAACATGGGTAAAAAGTATTAGCAGATAAACACATAAACAACATAAAAATATATGTGCAAGTAAAAGTATATACAAGGCGAAAATGCAAATTAAAATAACAAAGCTAAAGCTTTTCACATTGGTTAGCAAAAACCAAAGAGACTGATAATATCAAGTGCTTGTTATGATATAGGGAACAACATTTAAATATGTGGGTGGGGAGAATGACCAAACTGTTTAGTTATTTTGGAGAGCCATTTCAAAGTATCTATTAAAATCAAAATGCATAAACCAGGCACAGTGGCATAAGCCCGTAATCCCAGCTCTTGGGAGGCTGAGGCAGGAGGATCGCTGCAAGTTTAAGGCCAGTTTGGGCTATATAGTGAGTTCAAGGCCAGCCTGGACTACATAGCAAGATGCTGCCTCAAAAAAAGCAAAACAAAAAAGAAAAAAAATAAAAATGCATATAATTTATAAAAAATAAAGATGTTGCCCAGATTATGAAGGCCCTAAGTTTGATCCCAGCACCACATGAAAAAATATGTATCACATACATGATACATGCATATCATATTACCTCATTTATATTTATGTATTTATTTATAGGCTTCTTATCTCAGAGTAGGTCAGGAATTCCAGTGTAGATTAGCTGGGTGCCTCTGTGTGGACTCTCTCAAGGCAGCACGCAAGGTTTTCACTCTGGCTACAGCATGTTAAGGCTTGACTGAAGCAAGCTGTGCCTCCAATGCTTTGGTGGGCCATTTCCCAGGGGTAGTCCACAGCATGGCAGCTGGCTGCCCCCAGGGTGAGTGACACAAGGACAGAGAGAGACCGTCCTCCAGAGAGAAGACACAATCTTTTAATCATCTGCTCTTGGAATCCATCATTCCATCATCTTGTATTCTTTAGAGACATGTCAGCTCAGAAGGCTGAGGCAGGAAGGTTACTAAGAGTTTGAGACCAGCCTGGGCTACACAGTGAATTCAAGGTCACCCTGAACTACATGGCAAGACCTTGTCTCAAAAAAAAACCCCAAAAAACAAAAACCAAAAAACTGAGACGGCCAGACAGTTCAGCCCACTCTCAGGAAGAGGACTATACAAAGGCCAGGCAGTATATAGTAAATAATAGGAAACGGTGATCTTTTCCTTGACCAAACTCTTTTGAATCCTCTTCTCAATCAAGCTCTAACTTTTGGGCTTCCATTTCATCACCACATTGTCCAATTGTAGCTAGAATCCTAAGTTGCCTTAGCCAGAATCCCCACCCTTTCTATGTGATCACCTTCCATATCTGATCCAAGTCCTCACCATCCGCAAGGGAACATCAGATTCCCAGGCCAGCCTGCAGCAAGAATCCTGTTAGATCTATTTTGTCAGAATCTCTAAACTCCTATTTCCTGTTAGTAATTTTCCATCCACTGTTCACTACGAGGCCCTGGGTTCAATCCCAGCATTCCAAAGGGAAAAAAAAGTCCGAAGAGAACAGTGTAACAGTGTCTAACCTGTATTATGACCAGCTATTACCTAACTTCTCAGAAAATCATGCTCCTTTGTTATAAATTCCCACTTTTCCTTGTTGCATTCAGAGTTGAGCCCAGTCTCTCTGTTCTACTGCAAAGATCCAGTACAATGGTCCCTGAACAAAGGCTGCCTTCACATCCTTTAACAAGGGTCATGATTTTTTCTTTAACAAAAACTACAACTAGATATATTATAGTAAAACTTCTGAGATGAAAATTTTTAAAAAATTTTAAAAGATAGCAGTAACACTGACAGTTGATTTGTCAAAAGAAACAATGTAAGCCAGAAGATAATGGAATATCAAAGCACTCCAAGAAAATACCTTGCCAGTAGGCTGAGGCAGGAGGACTGCAGGTTCAAGCCCTGCTTGGTCAGCATAGTGAGACCCCGTTCTCAAAATAAAAATAAAAAGAGATACAGTGTACCTCAGTGCAAAGCCCTGGTTCAATTAAAAAAAAAAAAAGGCAAGGTAAAGGCCATTTTTAGATAAAATCTGAAAGAATTTGTCACCCACAGATTCCACACTAAATGACATACTGCAGGAAGTTCCTTCAGACATAAATATACTCATCCCAGATAGAAACCTTATATAGAAAGGAACACAGAACAAATCACATTTCAAGAGACTGACATTATAAAAACTGCAAAGCTTCCAAAGGTGCAAGAAGGGTGCGAGGAGACACAAAGACTCTGGAATCAGAAATCAAAATGCCTTTAGGTTTTCCAACAGCAAATCTAAAAGCAAAGACATTGGAAAGTTCTGCTATCACAATTCTGAGGGGAAAATATCTCCAACCTAGAACTTCCCACCCAACCTAAGGTACACTGAAGATATTTTCAAACACATACAGCCTCAAAATAACTTCTTCCCATGCACTCTTCCTCCGGAAAATGCTGAAGGATATACTGCACAAAGCAAGGGAGAACGGTGAAGCAGTAGGCCTGGCATTGAAGGGAACGGAAGGGGTGTCCAACAAGCCATGTGGCAGCCAGCAGCTAAGATGATGCTGAATCTCCTGGGTCTCCCCACATAGGATCATTAAAGGAATTACTGAGAACATACTAGTGACATACGACATTTAACCTTATTTGGTAAACCTTAGCTGACTCATTACCTGTTAGAAGTATCCAAACTATTTCCTGGTAAGGAAGGGGAAAGCTGCCATGTGTCTAAAGATGGAAATCTTCTGAGCTCCAGGAAATAAATGCTCTTTTGCCGTTCTCAGGAGGCCATAAGAACAGAGAAGACACAGGGGACAGAGTGGCCATCCTACTAGCAGGGGTCCCCCGGCAGCCACAAACACGCTCTGGGGAATAGTGCCCAGGCACTGCTGCTGCATTAGAACTAGGGTCACTCTACAGTCTATATGTGACATGGGTGGGGGAATGCCTGAAACAGAACTTCTGTCTTGGAGAACATGAGATCAAAGCTAGATCTAATTTGATTTAGATACTCAGGAAATATGATTCCTCAAAGTACACCAGATGTTTGTTTGGGGGCCAATCTTAGTAGGACTTAGGGACAAAAACACACACCATTTGGTTCTCTTAGTCCATTCTACAATTAAAAACCCAAACAGACAGCTGGGAATGTAGCTCAGTAATAACTCTAGTATACACAAGGCTTGGGTTCAATCCCAGCACTGCCAAAAAACAAAACACCAAAGAGAGAAGTGTCTACCCTGTATTATGACCACCTACTACTGAACTTTTCAGAAAATCACAAGCATGTTAAAGGTAGATCCCACCATTTACTCACATGAAATCCAGCACAGAATCATTCCGAATGACCTTATGGGAGACATCAGCTAGCAGAAAAAGACCTCCATCTGTCTTCCGGATGCTGGCTGCATAGCCAGGCCAGATCTGCAATCTGAAGAGAGAGGTGTTCTTTACCCTAGGTTCTAAAGAGACATTCACTTCCATTATCCTTTCTCAAACAATACTTAGGAGCTGATACTGCTGGCAATGAAGAAGCCCCAGGACACAAACTAAGTCAAGCCAGCACTGCTGCAAGTTTACCAAAAATCTAAACTACAATTAATTTAGCTAATAAACTATACTCACTGCCATAAAAAACTGTTGAAATTTTTGTCTTAAGTACAGCAGTAACAATGAAAAACTTTTTTTCCAGAGCAAAATTTAAGAAGGAAAAAACCCACCAACCTGTGTTGCTGTAATACCATAGCACTTGTAGGATCATAGAAGTTTCTCCCCACAGGCTTCATATCTAAAAGTTTCATTACCCTGAAATAAAGAGTAGGCATGAGGTTTTTTTTGTTTGATTTTTGTTTTGTTTTGTTTCTTTGGTAGTGCTGGGATCAAGCTTTACATTGCTAAAACAGCTACCAATGAGTACATCCCTAGTCCTAGAATGATGTGTGTGTGCGTGTGTGCGAGTGAGTGTGTTTTACTGGGGACTAACCTAGGGCTTTTGCACCAAGCTACCTCCTGAGCCCTTTTTAAAAATTTTTAATTTTGAGATAAGATCTCACTAAATTACCCAGGCTCGAATTTGCAATCCTCCTGCCCTGGGCTCCCAGAACGCTGGGATTACAGGTGTGTGCCACCACACCCACTTTAGAATTGGATTTCTAATGGAGGAATAATAAAATTAAGCTTCATTACTCTTGGATTCCTTTGGAAGTCTAAAGAATCAGAAATATTAGTATCTTTTAACATAGTACTTTTATGTTAAGAACAATCTTACTAAAAGAAAAAAATTATCAGCCAGGCATGGTGGTGCACGCCTGTAATCCCAGCACTTGGGGAGCTGAGGCAGGAGGATTGCCATGAGTTCACGGCCAGCCTGGCTACATAGTGAGTTCAGGACCAGTCTGCACTACATACAAAACCAGAAAAAAAAAAATCATTAAAGCAGTTATCTTGGAGTATTGTAACTGGCATCTCAAAATGGAGCTTTAAAAGCTAGATTTCTTTTTAGATAAGAGATAAGTAATTGCTCCAAACTTCCTCCAGCTGAGCACGTAACCAAAACCCCTCTTCTCCTCAGCTCAAAAGCTGTAACATAATATGCACATACTGCACCAGGAGGCAGAAGCTCAGATTCCCTTCCACAAGAAAAGGGGAGGCCATATAGGGTGGCTCATGCCTAAAATCCCAACAATCAGGAGGCCAAGGCAGGAGGAGAGCCTAGGGTTTGAGGGCCACACAGTGAGCTCAAGACCAGTTCTAACTACATAACAACCCCCTAAAAAAGAGTAAGAAAAAGGAAAGGGGAGAATGAGCATGATCTCTATGTGTTTCCCCTCCCTGTGTTCTTTACCCTCCCTGTGCTCCTGCCCTATCAGCTACACAAGAAATGGTGATTTGAGGCAAATGGGCCCCTGTTTCCCCAGAGCTAGCTTTAAATAATCCCTTTTCTTTCTTTTTACCAAAATAAATGGTTTTGATTTGCTCTGTAGCAAGTAAGTGACCCTGAGTGTATGAACCTAAATGGCTGGTAACAGTTTGAATAACTGACTGCAGCCTTTCCTACTTATTAGATAGTGAAATGGCGAGTTATTGCCCAGGCTCAATTTATATTACTTTTTACCATTAACCAAACAGAACAAAAGAAAGCCAGTTTCCATGTTTATGGATAACAGTCTGGAGAAGAGAATTCTGTTTTTTTCCTGGCAATTCAGTTTACTAGGTTCTGTTTTACTGCATGGGAGGTAGTTTGGGAATAACAACTATAAGAAAATTTGGGAGTCTCAAAAGAAGCTAAACAATTATGAGCTGGGTCTGTAATTCGAAAGTTTAAGGGACTGAAAAATTTCTCCCAATATTTGTGCACACTACCTCTTTGAGTATAAAAATCTGCTTTGAAATTGTCTGAACTAATTTACAGGAACCCATTCTGCTACTCAGCTATCTCCAAACCTGAATCTGACTTATCACTTGTGAGATAATTTTTTTGTTTTTAAAGACAGGGTTTCACTACTAGTTTAGGCTATTTTTGAACTCACAATGTAGCCCAGGTTAATCTTAAACTTGTGGCAATCCTCCTGCCTCAGCCTTCTGAGTGCTGGGGTTACAGGTGTACATCACCATGCCCAGCTTTTGTGAGATAATTTTTAAGATGCATCAAGATCATTCACTTATTAAATGCTTCTGCATTCATCTATAGATACATCCACTGTATATAATGCCATCCAAGCTTCTTGAAGAACATTTGTACAAATACAAAACTAAAGTTAAAGTGAAGAAGGATCCACAGCTGTTATCTCACCGTCGGAAAACAACATTGTAGAAAGGAATGCACAAGTCAGAACAAGGCTCCAGGATCTTTGTCAACTGAATCTTAATGCTGATCTCAGCATCATCAGTTTTCCTTCGACTTTTTAACTCAGGAACCTAACAAATAAATAAACACAAGTGAAAAGAAATGACAAAGCAATGAAGTCATAATCTAACCTGTGTTCTAGAGAACACTAAAATGTCTCAAAATATGCTTTCTACTTTTTCCTTCACTTTGTTGCCCACAATGGCAAAATCATAGCATGACAATAGGGATTTAAGAAATTTGGTAAGAGAAACCCAGTAAAGTTGAAGTTGAAGTTTCAAGGCATTCTTTGATCACTGAAGTCAAAGGCTTTTAAGCACTCTGTGGAAGGCCCTTCTTGAAGAACTCTAACAGAAAAATTTGTTAGATTCTGCAAAAATCTCCATTCCTTCTAAAAACAGGAAGACACTATTGAAATGTTCAGGATGTCTATGGTTTTCCACCACTCAAAACACCAGAGCACTCTTAGATTTCATCCAAAGTACAATTCCCACTGGGTCTTACTTGTTGAAGCTTAATAGGCAGATAGAGAATAGATCCATCAAAAGCAGTGACATTTCCAGTGACAGCTTGATGGTCCTTTAACATGCCAAACCTCATGCTTTTGCATTCTACGTTGGGGCTGGAAAATAATAAAGAGGATTTTACTTCACTTGGGCTCATACAGCAACCTTTTTGTTTTTTAAAGACAGAGAGGATTTACATTTATTGACGGTGAAAAAGAAATACACTGTGCAAAGAGCTGGCCAGGAGCAGACTCACAGTGGCCTCAAACAGCAATCTTTTTTTTTTTTTAATTTTTTTTAAAATTTTATGGAAAAGAGGTAAAACAAAATTTCATAACACAATAATGGGAGAATAACAACAGTTAATACATTACATGTTATCTTTAAAGTAGTTGCTCAGGGTACAAGATATGGGCATAAAAATTTCTCCATCGATATTAGCACAAACCCTTTTTAACAAACTAAGAGACACAAATAGTATAACTGACTTGCATTTTTTCCTACTGTTCTTTCCCCTTTCACCTATCCTAGCTCCTTTTTCCTTTTGAACAATTTCTTCCCATTTCACAACATCTACTGTACATTTTAGACCTTGTTTACTCTTTCAGTTTCTCACACCAGGCAGACAATATGATGTTTACACATGTGAGTCTGATTTATTTCATGTACAAATATGGTCTCAAGTCGCATTCATTTACCTAAAAAAAGTCTCCAGTTTATCCTTCTTTATGGCTGAGTAGTTCTGCATGGTATAAAAATACCACATCTTTTTTATCCATTCATTGGTTGATGGGTATCTGGGTTGTTTCCAAGATTTAGCTATCACAAATTGCACTGCTATAAACATGGGCACACATATATTGCTGTGGTATGATGTTTTTGATTCTTCTGGGAAAATACCCAGAAGGAGAATAGCTGGGTCAAATGGGACCTCTAATCCTAGTTTTTTGAGGAATCTCCACACTGGTTTCCAAGGTGACTGTACCAGTCTACACTCCCACCAGCAGTGGAGTAGGGCTCCCCACCCCCAGCCCCTTCAGCATTTGTTATTGGTTGATTTCTTGATGATAGCCGTTCTTTCTGGGGTGAGATGGAGTCTCAGTGTTGTTTTATTTTGCATGTCTTGAATGACCAGTGATGCTGAACATTTTTTCATATGTTCATTTGCCATTTGTATATCTTCATCTGAGAAGTATGTATTCATCTCAGATGCCCATTTTTGACTGGGTTTGCATTGGGGAAGGTCTGACTTTTTTCAATTCTTTGTATGTTCTAGATAGAAGTCCTCTGTCTGAGGGACAATTGGCTAAAATTTTTTCCTACTCTGCAGGCTATCTTTTCAGTCTCAAACAGCAATCTACTCCAGCTGTGCAATAGGTAGGTTTAGAGAAGCAGTCATTTGTAACTGTGCTCCACCTAGTGGTCATACTAAAAATTATACAGCTGACTATAAGTACAATGTGGATTCAGGGATATGTGCTCATATACAAATATTAGAAAATATAGGCAAACAAAAGGAAAATAAAAACAACCCTTAATTCCAACACCTAAGGACAACTGTCTTAACATGTCAGTGTGTGTTCTTCCAGACTTCAAGTCTATCTGGAAGCATTTTATGTAAGGGTGCAGATAGTATTTTAGGTTTTGCAGGCCAGATAGTCTGGCAGTTTTGTTGGTGTAGCATAAATCAGCAACAGACAATATGTAAACTGTACAGCTGTGTGCCAATAAAACTTTGTTACAAAAACAGGCCATGGGCCATGTTTGACCTTTGGACCAGCTATGGTTTGCCAACCCCTGCTTTCGAGTCTCCAGAAACACACATTTTTTTAAAAAATGTTTTTTAAAAACAGGAATTTAGTCAGGTGTGGTTATACATGCCTATAATCCAAGTACTCTGGGAGGCTGAGGCAGAGGGAATCACAAGTTTGAGCCCAGCATGGGCCACTTGGTAAATTAGCAATACTGTCTCAAAAATAAAAAATAAAAAGGGCTAGGGATGCTCTCTTTGCTTCCTGATGCCATGCCACGAGCTGCTTCTCCTCTGCTGTACCACCCTGCTTTGGAGCCACCTGACTATGGATTGAAACATTTATAAACTGTGAGCCAAAATAAACCTTTCCTCCTTAAAAGGGGGCAGGGTTGGTGATGTAGTTTAGTATGATGGTCCTGGGTTCAATCCCCAGTACTGGGATGAGGGTGTAGGGAAGAAACAATCTAAAAACTGGATTTTACTCTAACCACTTTCACTCATGGCAATTTCAACTTTTTATTGATTCACTGCTACAAATGCCATAGCTCAGAAAAACTCCAGAAGGAGGGGAAAGGAGCAGGGAGGAGGGGACTTGAAAGAATTAAAATGTAAGCACTCGGGAAGCTGAGGCAGGAGGATAACAATTTCTAGCCCAGCCTGGGAAGCACTCGGGAAGCTGAGGCAGGAGGATCGTTGTGAGTTTGAGACCAGCCTGGGCTACAAAGTGAGCCCAAGGCCAGCCTGAACTTCGAAGCAAGACCCTGACTCAAAAAAAAAAAAAAAAAAAAAGAATTAAAATGTGCTATGTACACATACCAACACCCCATGATGAACGTAATCATTATATACTGCAAATATGTACTAGCAAAAATAAAAATTAAGAAAAGAAAATCTCCAGCAACTACTTTATACAATGACTGTCCTGTTATATCACAGCAACACACAACTTTGTTCTGCAACAGCAAAATTTGAACAAATCCAGAGATAAAAAGGATCAAGTACGTTCAAGTGCATGAAGACAAAAAAAAACCTAGTGGTAACCCAACAGAGTTATTTATAAAATCAAACATGTGCAAAAAAATCACATTTTTATTTTAAAAATTCACATACAAGTTGAGTACACGCCTGACTAAACCGTTTGGAACCAGAAACCTTCAGATTTTGTATATAAGAATTTGCATACACATAATATCTTGGGGCTGGGACACAAGTCTAACCAGGAAACTCAGTTATGATTAATATACACTTTATACATATAGCTGCAGGTAATTTTATACAATATTTTTAATAATTTGAGCATGAAAAAAGTTTCATGATCAGAAATTTTCCACTTACAGTGTCATGTCAGTACTCAAAAGGTTTCAGATTTTGGAACATCTGATTTGGACTTTCAGATTAGACATGATCATCCTGTACCCACACAGAGCTACCCTATGAACAGAGTATTTAAGTTTGTCTTCCCAAACCTTCTTCATGTACTATGAGGAAGCTGTAGGATGACCAGTCTACTATATTTTCTCAGTATTCTCTAATGACTTGGCATTACAATTACACTGTGACTTCAACAGTCCAGAGCTCCAATCTCAAACTTTATAAATCCATGTCTTCACCACAGTCCATTCAACACTGCGAGGCCTGTGAGGATTCCTATACCGTTTCATTAATATTTGTCAATCTATTCTCAGAGAAAACATCTCCCACACACACTTTTTTAAAAGTTTATTGTTATAATTTAGGTATATATAATGATCACACTCATAATAGGAAATTTAATGTACCTGTAGTATATGATTTATCTTGATTCCTCTTTTGTAGAATTTTTTTTTTTTGGTAGTGCAAACTGAACTCATGACCTCGCACTTGCCAGGCAGTCACTATGCCACTGAGCTAAATCCCCAGCCCAAAAGCTCTGAGGTTTTTTTGGTTTTTTGTTTGTTTGTTTGTTTGTTTTGGTACTGGGAATCAAACTCATGACCTCGGGCTTGCCAGGCAAGTGCTTATGCCACTGTGCTACATCCCTGGCCCTGTTGATTCCTCTGTTTTTCCCAATCCCCTCCTCTCCCTTCAACTTCTTCCCCTCTTCATTTAAAAGTTTGTCCTCCTTTTTTCCTTTTTTCTTTTTCTTTCTTCTTTATCCACTCCCCACCTAGCTCCCCTTTCCTTTGGAACAATTTCTCCCTATTTCACAATTTCTAGTATATATTTTCATTTTTATTTATACTTTATTTCTCATACCAGAGAGATCACAATATTTACATATGTCTGCATTATTTCACTTATGAAAATGGTCTCAAAGTCCATCCATGTAGCTATAAATGTCTCAAGTTTAGACTTCTTTATGGCTGAGTAGTATTACATTGTATTAAAAAAAAAATCTTTTTTTTCATTCATTGGTTGCTGGGCATTTGGGTTGTTTCCAAGATTTAGCTATTACACACTGTGTTGCTATAAACATGGGTGCGCACATATTGCTGTGGTGTGATGCTTTTAATTCTTTCGGGAAGACACGAAGGTGAATAGCTGTGTCAAATGGGACTTCTAATCCTAGTTTTTTGAGGCATCTCCATACTGGTGACTGCACCAGTCTACACTCCCACTGACGGTGGAAAAGGATTCCTTTTTCCCCACATCCCCAGAGCATTATTGGTTGATTTCTTGATAATAGTAATTATTTCTGAAGTGAGATGAAACCTCAGCGTTGTTTTATTTTGTATCTCTCAAATGACCAATAATATTGAACATTTTTTCACATATTTATTTGGTGTTTGCGTTTCTTCACCTGAAAAGTGTGTATTCATCTCAGATTCCAATTTGTGGGTTGAGTATTTAAATTTGGGAGGTCTGATTTTTTTCAATTCTGTATATGTTGCAGATTTTTTTTGCTGTGCAAAAGCTTTTTAATGAGTTAACACTTGTTGACTTCTTATAGTATTCTTTGACTGGGGTTTTATTCATAAAGTCTTTGCCTACACCTATGTCTTCAAGAGTTCTACCTATTCTCTCTTCCAGTCGATTTAGTGTTTCTGCTTTAATATTTAGATCTTTTTGAGCTGGGCGTGGTGGCTCATGCCTTATAAGGCCAGCATTCAGGAAGCTAAGGCAGGAGGATTGCTGTGAGTTCAAGGCTAGCCTTCACTACAAAATGAGTTCAAGGCCAGCCTGAAGTGCATAGTGAAACCCTTCCTCAAAAAAAGACAAAAATTAAAAAAATTTAGATCTTTGATTCATTT